GCTTTGTTTCTGTTTATGCAGCCCTAGCCACACCTCCCCTGGTTATGATTGACAGGGCCTGCATGAAAAAAAAACTGGTTTCACTTTCAAACAGATGTAATTTACATTAAATAATTGTATCTCAATCTCTAAATTGAACTTTGATCACATACAGGAGGCTCTTGCAGGGTCTAGCAAGCTATTAACATAGCAGGGGATAAGAAAATCTTAATTAAACAGAACTTGCAATAAAGAAAGCCTAAATAGGGCTCTCTTTACAGGAAGTGTTTATGGAAGGCTGTGCAAGTCACATGCAGGGAGGTGTGACTAGGGTTCATAAACAAAGGGATTTAACTCCTAAAGGGCAGAGGATTGAGCAGTGAGGCTGCAGGGGCATGTTCTATACACCAAAACTGCTTTATTAAACTAAAGTTGTTCAGGTGACTATAGTGTCCCTTTAAGTACTGCAGGAAGACATTTAGGAATAGGATTCCATGCTACTGCCACCTGGGCAGCCACTGTTGTTGAATCACAGATTGCAGGTCTACAACTGGAAGGTTCAATGTATAGCTATTTAGGTAACCTCACTGTTGCAGCTGTTGATCTTACTACAGGAAGCAACAATTGGAGTATTTGTGCTGTAAAATACTTATGGTTGCAGCAACAAAGATTGGAATTAGAGAATATCTTAATGATTCCTAAGACTGATAAATATGGATGAAACTCTGTGGTTAAATATGAAAACACAGCAAGTAGTCTGTCTAGAGAATATTGTAAATAATGTCTCTCACTTTTCTAACACAATTTACCTTATATCACGCTTTACCCAATGAGACCAAATTGGCATGCAAGTTTTTCACTTTACCAACGCCCATATTTAATATTACTTCTGACAGTTTGACCTGGTGGTCCCCAACCTACACTGGAGAGTATATCTTCCCCAAGGATAATAAGACGTATTCATTAGAACATTGTGTACGAACAGACAAAGGCTATGCATGTAGACACTCATCTCCTATATATGAACCATGTCTTTTACATTCTGAGGTTAATAAATGTGTACCCAGAGGACTGTTTCTCTATGCTAGAAATAGCACCTAGATTTGTATGTCTGGCTACCAATGTGCCAGTCGGAATAATTTCTGTAGATGATCACTTTCCTTTTACAGGATGCATATCAAATCTTATATGGCTCACTATTAATGGAATATCAAAGACATACCTACCATTGATAGAACCATCATGTATATTCCTCCAAAATTGCCACTAGACGATTATCAGTTACCCATAGAAAATATAACTGTGTTGATAAAAGCTAGAAGGGATATGTTCCAACATCTTAGAACACATGAAAAGGACATTACCCATACACTAGTTGCCACCCATGTTCTCAAGGGCGAACTATTGAAAGAAAGTTCACAAATCCAGGATGACTTGGCTCATCACTGGTATGATATGTTCACAGGTTGGTGCTCAAATTTTTGATAATTCTTTTATCCGTTGGTAATAGTTGTATTTGTAATGCTACTTATGATGCTGTACAATTGTTATCTTACCTGTACCCTGAAAAATAAGATTCAAAGGCTGATTACTACTGCCGATGACAAACAGCTGGATACTCTCCTCCGTGCTAGGTCATAGGGTATCGTCCTGAGGGAACCGTGGTGAAGAACTAACTAAAGTCCTGCAGGATTGACTAGCAATCCTGAACATACCTCATGGACTTCACCCTATTTATATAGATGTGGTCAATAGATTGATCAAAGAGGGGATTGAAGGGTGAAACCCGACACATTGTCTGTATTCATGCTGACTCTATTTTGTCACAAGACATACTTTTAACTACCTCATTTCTTTTGAATCCTGTGATTTTGTATTTGGCTCAATGCTCATCATTGTTTTGCGATTTTACGTCTGTTAGTAGTTTCTCTTCACATGCTTTTAGATTTGAATAGGACATTGTCTCTTTGCACGCAATCTGTATTATATAAGCAATGTAGATTCTGTAATTAAACGAGAAACCTTTGAATAGCTGACTGTGTGTCATCTTCGTGCTTTCAATGGTCTCCCTCAATATTGAAGACAGAGCAGTGAATATTCCAAGTGGCGGACAGCGGACACTGAGATAGAGGAGAAAAACACTTCTAAAGGAGAAGCATCGATTAACCCTTTCACCCGGTAACACAACCTTATACAATAACATAAATATTAGTAATAGGCTATATATTAGATCAATAGAAAAAAAACTCCACCAAGGCTCATAATAAAACAGAAAATATGCAGCACACAAAAACCCTCATTTGGAAACCACATCAGAGGCCACTTTAACTGACACACGCTCTGCATGTGTTATGGTGTGTATTATAGAGCTAGTGACCGCCCTCGCAGGTCTAGGCTTGGCTAAGAGCCAGCATCTGTTGTTGGATAAGTGGCTTAAGGATAGAGTACAACGAGTTGTCATTAATGGTAATTTTTCAGGCTGGACAAAAGTGGAAAGTGGTGTCCCTCAGGGATCTGTTTTGGGACTGCTTCTATTTAACATAAATGATCTTGAAATAGGCATTGGAAGCCATGTTTCAATGTTTGCAGATGACACAAAACTTTGTAAAGTAATAAAATGTTAGCAGGATATTGCTTTTCTGCAGAGGGATGTGGATAGATAGGGGGGCTGGGCACTAAAATGGCAGATGAAATTTAATGTAGAGAAATGCAAAGTTATGCACTTTGGGGTCAAGTATGCACAAGCAACTTACACCCTAAATGGTAGTGAATTAGGGATAACCATACACGAGAAGGATTTGGGAATTGTGACAGACAACAAATTAGGCAGCAAAATGCAATAAAAAGTATAATAATAGAGCAAAATGCAATGTCAACCTGCAGTTGCTAAGGCCAGTAAGGTTTTGTCATGTATAAATAGGGGCATAAATTCTCGGGATGAAAGTATAATTTTGCCTCTTTATAAATCGCTGGTAAGACCACACCTTGAATATGCTGTGCAATTTTGGGCACCTGTTCTAAAGAAGGATATCATGACACTAGAAAAAGTACAGAGACAAGCTACAAAATTGATAAAAGCAATGGAGCATTTTAGTTACAAAGAAAGGTTAAAAAATTGAAATCTCTTTAGTTTGGAAAAACAGCGCCTCAGAAGGGATATGATAACATTATACAAATATATCCGGGGCCAGTTCAAACCATTATCTAGAAAATCTATTCATAAACAGGGCTATACATAGGACACAAGGTCACGGATTTAGACTGGAAGAAAGGAAATTTCATCTAAGGCAAAGAAAAAAAGTTTTGTTTTACAGTAAGAGCAACAAGGATATGGAGTTCTCTGCCTGAAGAGGTGGTTTAATCAGAGTCCATACAGATGTTTAACCCCTTAAGGACCAAACTTCTGGAATAAAAAGGGAATCATGACATGTCACACATGTCATGTGTCCTTAAGGGGTTAAACTGCAATTGGATAAATACTTGCAAAAACATAACACACAGGGATATAATTTCTAATTAGCGGGGTAATAGCTACTTGATCCAAGGAGACATCTGACTGCTATTTTGGGGTCAAGAAGGAATTTTTTTCCTAGCTTGTTGCAAAATTGGAAATGCTTCAGACAATTTTTTTTGCCTTCTTTTGGATTAACAGCAAAAACATATGTGAAGAAGGCTAAACTTGATGGACGCAAGTCTCTTTTCAGCTATGTAACTATGTAACTGCTCAACAGTCCCTTAAAGACTCCTTAAAAACATATCTCTGCATCATCTTGCCAGCAGTGTGTTCCCAGTTAATAATATGCTGGGAGGAGACTGTTGCTGTTTGGGAATACTCGGGTCTGCTCACTGTGCCTGTAGGTATTCTTATTAAAGCATTTGTGGCTGCCGTATGCTAGGTTCTGGGCAGGAGTAATGGATATCACCACTTAATGCCCCAAGTCATTCGGTCTGTGCAAGCTTTGCCCAGAATTATGCACAAATCAGATGATATGCTTCCAGTCTTCCTAGGTTTCCTACTCCTCTCTGACACTGATGCATGTTGGGTGGCGGCCATTTTAGGTGACCAGTGAAGACTGGCCGTGTAGGCCCGTAGGCCACTAGATTTCAGGGGCTTGCTGGATGGCCTTGGCAGAAGTGACCGGGATAACACTTATCCCGGTCCAAAAGCACATGCAGATGGACTCCTCTTGAACAGCGCTCACAGCAGGCAGGAGATCGGACACTTCTCCCACAGGTTGGCTGACCAGGCCTTAACGCCTGTACTTGAAGTACGTCACAGGCTCAGAGCAGGTAGGTGACAAATAGAGTCAGAGACTGGATGAGCTCTACTTTCCATGGCACCAGGACATGGCAGAATCCACAGGTTTGACTAGATTAATTGCGGTAGTATCGCTAATGGCTGCAGAGCTCTCCCTATCTGCATCAGCTTGGCATGGCTGTCAGGCCGTACCCCTCTTTTCTAATTTATATCTTCATTGTGAACTGCCAAAAATGTATTGATTATAATCAAGTTCCTGAGCACACTGATAAAGTGAAGTGAGCAGACTTTATTGGAGCAATGTTTCGGCTTTGTTATAAAGTCTTTATCAAACACAAATTGATTGATTGTGAACTGCAGGCAGTTGTACTTTCTGTTATATTCTTTAATTCCTGAATCCTCTTGGGTATGCCTTTTGCTTTATGTTGGTTATTAATATTGACCTTTAACACAGTTGTGTTCTGTACAGCAAGTGAAAGAAGAATGATCTAATGTAAAAAGCTTTTTCAAAATAAATTTAAAATATGTAAAAGATTCCTCACAAATCAAAAGGAATAAATAAAACCAATACTGAATTATCAAACTGTAATATAAGATGAAAATCTAATTTGCAAAAGATGGGATTGTAACTGACATTTCATACATTCGTAGCATGTGGGTTAGTCATACAACCAGAAAGCAAAATGGTTCGAAGAAGAGATCCAAGAGTTATATTTTTTAACACACAATAAAAACAATATTTGTTTTAAAATGTATTTATATATTTTTTTAAATTATTATACGGAAATATACAATGTGTTCAAAATCTGTGGAGAAGCAAAAGAGCAAAATATATGTGCCATAATTAATGAAGGAGCACAAAGTTACTGCATAAACTGTTAAAAGAGTTGATAGAATAGATTTATACCAATCCATGTTATTACACATTTATTGTATATATAGACAAGTAACAGAACTTGCAAAACTGTCCACTCCTGAGCCTCAGATTAGCATTAACTAGCAGTTTTAGGGCATATTTAAATGATTATTTACATAAAATATTTTTCTCAAAATAAAGATTCTTATTATATTATCCACTTTCATCTCTGTACATATTTGTTTTACAATTTCATAAACTAACTGAGTCAACAATTATCCATTACCATAAATATTCATGACCTACATGATCTACATTTTTGACATGGCAGTACACGTTGCAGTGGAATACCTGGTCAGGAACATTTTATATTTCATAATACATATGAATGTGGAATATAGAAGTGTTCCTATTTTTTCTGTTCATTTTTGATAAATTTACTGGCACTGGAAAGGCTTCCTATAAGAAATGGACATTAGCCTACAGCAAGTTGACCTCAACATACATAGTGGTGAAGGTAATTCTGAAAACTAGAACAGAGATAAAAAAGGGTTGTGTATAAAGTGTGCTGTGTAATGAAAAGTGGTGCAAACAGGGGTGGACTCATTAATGTAATGTGCTTGCTGGGTACACTTTTGTCAATTATGACTGTCCCACTTTTAATATTTGAGACCACTTTTCAGAGAAGAACACATTTTGTCTATAACCACCATTGTAATTTTAGGAATATATAGATGACAAGTTGACCAAATACTTCTTAATATACTAAGACATGAGCAAATACTTAACTGTCAACAAAGTACTTTCTAGGGAAAGTATGTATTAACAAAGTGCAGAAAAAGTTAACACATTTCGATTGTTTTTGCATTTATCACTAGCGGTTAGTGACATATTTAAAATTCATAACTGCACAAATATATTAAAATTTGTAAACTATTTTAGCATGTTTGTGGATCTTTATTTTAACATGCTTTTTGTGAAAGCAATATATTCCTTGTATGGTTTAATTCACTATTTATAACAGTAGCATGATCACCTTGGCAGTATTGAGGAAGTTAAAAGCATAAACATGAAAAATACACTATTCACACACCGTTCATGTTGTGGCTGGTTAATAAAAGTCAATCAATGTAATTTTGAAATGTGATCATAACAATACAGCAGCTCTATTTACAGATCTTTTAGTAAAAATCAGTTTTTGAGCAAACACTGCATTAGTGATTTTGTTTTCTCATAAAACCAATATTTACATTTTATAGGTATTTCTCAGCTGTGCTTTCACAAAAAAAAAAAAAAAAACAACAGATTTTATTAAGTATAAGTTGTTTGCTTCCAAAAATCAAGGACACCATCACAGATTTTTTATTACTTGAAAAATTTGAGCAAAGCTGCAGTAAATCTCTCACACAATCTCATAGAGCTGAACAATCCTCAAAACTGAAACATGTCAGCGCAAGCACACTTGTTTGTCACAAACGTTGTCACATTATTCAGTGGCATCTTCAGAGGAGAAGGAGAGAGCAGAAGTATATAAACAGGGTGCTGTTTCTCAATATGATCCTCGGGCATCCATCCACACTCATAATACCATAATACCATATTAATTTTAGGCAACCTTTAATACCTATCATCAGCCCCAGCCATCCAACATTCCTTCCAAAAAATCTGTCAAAAAACTAGCAGATTCTATCTACTAGTGCCTCAGCTTCACTGAATTTGTCCTTTGCTTCACTGCTGCTCTTACTATTGTAACTTGAAGCCTCCAATCTTGTTGTGCAATTTGTGGTGGACATATTTAAATGGCTGCCGACACGCACAATGATCTCAAGCAGTATTCAAAGCAACGTAGACAAAACATCCAAATAACGCATGACAATATAAACTTTGTGTAGTGGTTTTGGATTATAAGAGAACTATAAAAGTTGTATATGCCACATTCCCTCCACATGGAGACACTGAACTTTCCTCGTAGAGATGCACTGATTAGATTAATCAATTCATCTCTATGAGGAGATGCTGATTGGCCATGGCTGTGTTTGGCTCTGCTCTGATCTGCCTACTTGATAAGCTCAGCCAATCCAATGCTTTCCTATGGATTTTACTATATAGATTTTACTATATTTAGGGGGATTAGATGGTGTTTTAACACTACAGGGTCAGGAATACATGTTTGTGTTCCTGACCATATAGTGTTCCTTTAATGGTTTATATATACATAAAATATTAGAAAGTTCTATATCACATAATATGTATGGGTGCACGGAAGCAAGGTCAAATTATGGTCGACTAAATGTGTGTCAAAAGTTCCAGAAAAGGCCTTGGTCAAAAAACGTTGCATCTAAAAGACCTTGGTCCTTAAGAGGTTAATGTTTATTTTCTTAATGCATAGATTTTACACACACACACAGACTGTGCAAAATCCATGGAGATGTTTGTCAATTACTCTTTTTTTTGTCAACATTCAGTGCCTGTTCAGTACAGATGTCTAATGTTATCCACATATCTATTGATCTATTGGTTAGTATTATTTAAAAGTACAATGTTTATATACATATATGTAGTGGCATTGTTTTAGAAATCTGCATTCCCAAAAATACCCTGAGAAACCTGACAAATAAAAAAAAAAGCTTTTGCCAAAAGTAATGTTTGTGACAAAAAAAAATATTTACTTTCTATACTAATATTTTATTTTATCAGTTATATTTCAAGAAAAGGGATGCCATCTAATGTCTTTAACATATATCCCCAATAATTCTATAAAGTGTGAGTTTATGCCAATTTACATTCTTTTAATGTGTTATTTTTAATTTTTACCTGTATGTTAAATTTTATTTTTACCTGTATGTTCAAGCTAAGCATCTCATGTTTCAAATAAAAGTTAAGCTACTTGAAAAAATAAAAGAATCCTTTTGGCCTTTGACGTGCCCCTCTTGTGAATCTATTTCTCCTGACGAATACCCTTAAAGGACCACTATAGGCACCCAGACCACTTCAGCTTAATGAAGTGGTGTGGGTGCCAGGTCCATCTAGAATTAACCCTTTCTGCTGTAAACATAGCAGTTTCAGAGAAACTGCTATGTTTACTTTAGGGTTAATCCAGCCTTTAGTGGCTGTCTCATTGACAGCCGCTACAGGTGCTTCTGCGCTTCTCACTGTGATTTTCACATTGAGAAGACACCAGCATCCATAGGAAAGCATTGAGAATGCTTTCCTATGGACTGGCTGAATGCGCGCGCGGCTCATGCCGCGCATGCGCATTCAGCCGATGACGGGGAAAGAAGGAGGAGAGTCCTCAGCGCTGAGGAAACCCGGCGCTGGAAAAAAGGTAAGGGATTAACCCCTTCCTCTCCATTCAGCCCGGCGGGAGGGGGGCCATGAGGGTGGGGGGACCTAGAGACCCTATAGTGCAAGGAAAACAAGTATGTTTTCCTGGCACTATAGTGGTACTTTAAGGATACCTTCACTATTACATATATGTTATTAACCATCATGTTAAGCCTTGACTTATGTGTCATATGCCATGTTTATCTTGAATCTGCCGGCTGGAAAAATAAAGAATAAAAAAAAAAAAAAAAATTAAGAACAACTGCATTAAAAGATCAGTTATTTTGGTTTAACAAAGGTTATGTTATTTACATGACATTGCCTAAAAGCAAGATTATGTGCTTGAATTGACTCAATTGATAACTACCAGATTGTGCCACATTCTCTTAGTTCTAAATTATTATGATGCATTTAAACACAGTATAAAACGCACTCTCAGGTAACAAGAACCATGACAGGGCAAGGAGTTGTGATTGCAAAGGGCTGTGGTGTAACAAGTTTGTACAAATCATCAAGAAGTGCCACACAGACTGACAATATAAAAGAATACAAATGGAAGGTTATGTCATAAATTATGTCAGAATGAAGCACTAGTAAGCTATTAAGAGACTTCACTTCTGGAAGGGACTGTTATCATGACATTACACCTTCCAGTGTTGCCACCTGGGAGGATAGAACCAGGACATTATGGAAACTTGGCATGGTTCTTGCTACATGAGAGTACATTTATACTGTGTATTGGGTTTACTGTTTTCTGACCTCGGCTTGTTTGACCATACTTGCTCTCTATTGCCTGACCTTGGTTTAACTATTGATTCTGTCTACCTCTCGGCCTGTTTCTCATTTCCTCTCTGTCTGTTTGCAGACATTTCATTTTTCTGTCTTAGGGACTAGCCTGGCCATTCTAAGGATAAGTACTTTTTCTTTATTGTTTATGTAGGTTTGCGTGTTAGAGCATCTTCATTCCTGACATTACAACAGGACCAGAAAATAAGGACAAGCAGGATGTATACCTACCCTATACTGGGTTGTGATTGGTTGCAGAAGGTTGTGATATCACAAGTGTGTACACATTATCACAAAAGCACCGAATACACTGACACTATAAAAGTAGACCAATGGAAAGGTTTCATGTCATAAATGATGTCAGAATGAGGCACCAGGAACCAAGGGATGAGTGGACAACATCTTCTGAGCAGAAGAGACATTCCTTAAATGATCACACGGCCCCGGGAGGGACAGAAATCATGACAGACAAAAGACCTCAAATCTATACTGTTCATTTGTATACAAGACAGGTATGTATATGTCTATATGACTTTCTTTTTACAAAGAGTGTGTTTACTATGCTATGAAGACACTATCTGTGTAAAATACACAATATAATTTATATTGAGTACATGAATTTAATCCATAAACAATTACAGTTTAATAAATCATTTATATATTTGTTAGATGAAAAGTATGTAACTTTTTAAAATCAATGTATGTTACATAGTAAGGATTAAAACTTTAAAATGGTTATTTACCCCAAGCACAATGCTGGCATATTTCAGCAGTATACAGCCTAACTGCTTGGGACCATATCAGTAATAGATCAGCAACTCGTGACTTACCCTAAAAGTATATACAGGCTTTACTGTGCTGTAAATTGCCAGATTCCTAGGCTTTAAAGAAACATTCTAAGCACCATAAGCATGGCAGGTGGTAAGAGTGCGCTGGCATCCACAAGCCCATTGTAAATAGCCAAACAGCTTCGGATGATTTGACATATGTGGGCCCACTGCTCCCCAGCTCAGCAGACACTCTCATCCAATTAGCAGTGCATAAACATATCCATTCATCTAATTTCTTAAAGATTTCATGTGTTACATAATTTCACACACTACTCATGTGCAGTGATGCATTTACCTAGAAATACATTCCTGTGCCTGTACGTACATTGACACAATCCCCCATACATTCAGATGCTACATGCAGATATACATACAGACAACACCACACTTGTCACAGACAGATGTACAACTACTATATAAAAAAGAGATACACAGTGCTGTGAAGTTGGTAAAAATGTACCAACTCAAATAGAAAATGAATATATATATATATATATATATATATATATTTAAGGAGACATGAAGCATAAAAAATGACATCAAGTATAATAAGGAGCATTATTATAACTTAATTCAATGAAGAATAGAGTGATACTTGAAATAGAAAATTATTATTTTATTGGCTGCTATTTAGTCCCAATGTTTAGTTCTGTTTATTTATGATGAGCAGATAACTAAACTAAAAGATGAACTTGAGATGTAGGACTTTGGATAAGTTCACTGCATTACAGTCAGGAAGAAAATCTTTGCACTAATGATGTTCTATTATCAACCACGCCAACTGATGATGAACTTGATTTTGAGGCAAAGTGTTGCCGATTAGAAACGTAACTAACAAACTTGTGAAGAATAATTTAACTTAATTTAAATGTATTTTTTTTTTTTTAAATGCACAGTAGTAAGAAATGTTCCAATGGTTTTTACGGCTCTGCCACTAACCCAAACTAGTGTTGAGCATATATTTTCGGTTTTAAAATAATTAAATCATATTTGAGGACATCTATGAAGGATGATTTGATGGAGATGATTATTTTTCTAAGTACAAATTCTACATTTAGATTTTTTTTCATTAAAGATTATTTTTTAGATTCTCTTGTTTGCTATTACTGTTCATATTACTTTTATTACTACTGATATTGAATTGACTTTACTGTTTTTTCTAAAGATTTAAAAAAGCAGGGGGGAAAAACCCTATTAAAATAAAGCTATTTTAAATGAAGATTATACATTTAAAAAGTAGACACATCAGTGAGATGGTGTTGATAGAATTTCCTATGCTGCTATTTACTATATTAGTAAGTTTACCATTGTGATTTAGGAAGGAGCCAGAGAATTTAAAGTCTGAGGATTTTATTCCTGACTCCACAGCCCTGAAAATACCCAAACATATTCACAGACTACACACAAACACACACATACTTTCACAGAGTAGTAGACTCCTGCATATACAAATCATGGTTAAACAGAAATATATACATACTCATTCATTAGTTATGAATTGTGCCTGCAAATCCCATCTCTATATACATGGAAAATAGCGTGTATTGGCTTTCAGCTTTCATTTATATATGGTCAATAGGGTTGCCAATTTTTTTGTGTGTTTTTGATGGAGGAGCAGTTGCTGAAATGCGGACATATAGCGCATGCTCGGATATCTCTGCAATCCACAAATCCAAAGCATTTCTATGAGAAGCATTAACCGTGACAGGTGTTGTCATCATTTGAAAAATTAAAAGTATCTGAAAGATCCTGTCTGGTTGACATCCACTAGATTTGTGCTTTTTTTGGCCAAATGTAAACATGCCATTTCTCAGAAATGGCAATGTTTTACGTTGTCAAAGAAAAAGAGATGCTTCCACGCATCAAAACCTCTACATTAAGATGTAGTCGTTTTGTTGCTTAAATTGTCCCTTTAAACAATTGATATATCATTCTACTTACAGATACATTTTATATTTAATTGCTTTAGGAAATATTAAAGGACCACTATATGCACCCAGACCACTTCAGCTCAATGAAGTGGTCTGGGTGCCAGGTCCTCCTAGTTTTAACCCTGCAGCTGAGGGTTAATCCAGCTTCTAGTGGCTTTCTCACTGTGAAAAATCATAGGAAAGCATTGAGTAACGCGTATTCAGCACTGACGTCGGCAGGAGGAGGAAAGTTCCCCAGCGCCAAGGGGCGCTGGAGAAAGATAAGTGGCAGTAGGAGTTTTAACCCCTTCAGCCCAGCAGGAGGGGGCCATGAGGGTGGGGGGACCTAAGGACTACATAGTGCCCGGAAAACAAGTTTGCTTTCCTGGCACCTTAGTGCTCCTTTAACTAAATACTTACTTTCTGTCCATTCTGGTTTTGTGGGTGTAACAAAAATGTAAAACCTAGTGCCACTTCTTTCCTAGCTTCCACCCACCCTCTCCTTCATGAATATTTGGCAATTCTTTCATAAGCGGGATGTTACTGCCCGCAATGTTACTATGATTGCAACAAGCTTTATTTTTTGTCAATGTATAAGTGTCTCGATTAATTTTCTATGTTAATCTGGCAATGTGCTCACCAAAGGAATAAGAACTGTATTGTTGTGAAGGAGAACAGGACAACCACCTGCACGACAGTTCTCCCTTTCCCCCCTAATCAGTAAGTTTAGGGGTAGGAGCATGCTGAAGCCTTTTTAAAAAAAAATGTAAACATTTACTAGCAATTCTGCTAATACAATGTATAAATAAAATGTCTTTAACCCCTTAAGGACCAAACTTCTGGAATAAAAGAGAATGAAGACATGTCACACGTCATGTGTCCTTAAGGGGTTAAATAGATACTATAGTCACCAAAACAACATGGCTTAATGAAGTAGTATTAGTGTACAAATCATGCCCCTGCTGTTTCACTGCTGAAATCTCTGCCACAGGAGTTAAATCACTTTGTTTATGTAGCCCTAGTCATACCTCACAGCCTTCCTGAACACTTCCTGTAAAGAGTCATCTACTGTCTATACTTTATTTATTGCACACAGTCTGTTTAATGCAGATTTTCTTATCTCCAACAATGTTAATAGCTTATTAGAGTCTGCAGGAGCCTCCTGTATGTAATTAAAGTTCAATTTATGGAGCAGGAGATACAAACTTTTAAAGTATGTAACTTCTAAGTGAAATTGCAACCTTTTTTTTCATGCAGTCTGTGTCAGTCACAGCCAGGGGAGGTGTGCCTAGAGCTGAATAAACAGAAACAAAAATGGTTTAACTCCTAAATGGCAGAGAATTGAGCAGTGGTACTTCAGCTGTATGATCTATAGAGAAAAACTGCTCCATTAAGCTAAAGTTGTTTGGTGACTATAGTGTCCCTTATTGTGACATATACACTTTAATATATATTAAACACACATACTTTTATAAAGCTTTTTATATACTCCTTAATTCAGTTGGGCTAATTTCACTCATATTTACCCTCACTGCATAATATGTACACAACATACATACCTGCCATCTATTATTGTAGGTCACACCTAGCACTATAGTTTCCTTTCAGGGATCAGGTGGTCTCAAAATAACTTATGTCTTTACAGACTGAATGCCCTGTTTATTTAGCTTTGTCAGTTTCATGCATTCCTACTGTTTGCTGAGTAGGATATTACATTTTAGAATATGATCTTAAAAGAACAATTTTTATAATGACATAACAGTAAGAAGTCATTCTTCCTTTAGGAGTTAATATATTTTGAGACCGTTACATGCATTCTTGTTTTCAAAATCCAACTATTTTCTTTCTACTGATTTTTAAAGGAGCAATAATGCTCTATATGGACTTAAAATAAACTGGCTGCAGTTTTATATTCTTTTCATGCTTCTGTCAAACATTTTTTTCAATACTATTTGAGTGATACAATTTGTTCCTTTGTCTAACTACAGTTATAGATCTGTTCTGTAAGAAAAAAAAAATTCAATGCTGTGCTATGCAATTTCCAAGAATCTTCAGAAAGACAGTATGCCTCTGACCTTTTAGTCGTTGCCTTCATGAAGTCATTTGGGCTGAAAAAAGGTCTCCGATATACTATCTATTCTACTGTATTTTACAATTACACAAACATGGCAAAAAAAAAAAAAAAATACAATTGCTGTTCTCAGACAAACAGTGAGTAGTGTCTATGTTAAACTTCTATAGGCAAGAAGATGAAATCAAAGATATATGTAAATGCTTATACATTTAACTACTTTTTGTTGGTCCAGTGACACATTATTTATGCTTATCTTTATATAGATCAACCATATTTCTCACTATATGTAACAATTTCTGAACGGACTACTTACTTTACAGTTTTACATTACAGTTTTTCCAACAAGTGACAGCTTGTGTATCTCTGTAAGTCAGTTTGATAACCTGAATACATTGTTTTAGTAATAAGGCCCCTAAATGTTCTAGTATGACTGTTACTCCTCTCCAGGTACCAGCAATTATAAATGATCTACTGAAGGCCAGAAGCAGTTTGGGGATTGATCTGTATGTTCAATGTATAATACATGTTGCGCATACAAGCATAAATTTGGAGAGTGTTGGAAGCCACTCTTAAAATAGATCTCATGCAATTTGAAGAATAGAAATTATGATAAGTCAATACATTAAAGGTAAGTTCAAGTCAATAGCAGACTGAAAATGCTAAGGCCAGGGGACAAGTTAAAGTACATAGCCTAGTTAATACAGTCATGAAAAATCTAATTGTCATCACTAAATATTTCAATAATGCCAATGCAAACTATCCTGTCCTGCATACAACAAACTAGCGCAATCAACAGGACTGCATAGAAAGATCACAAATGGAGTGTTCAACTTCTCTTCCGCTTTGACATTTCCTGTTTGGCCTCTGAACATGGCGTTGTGCTGTTAGTTTCTTGTAAAATACAACTACTAGCAAAATCCATTCATAATGTCCCACATTTCTATATTCTATCCAAACCACTGAACATAAAAAAGTAAACAGACCCGCAAAACCGGGTACAGTATTTCCCAAAAACCCAACGTGGGAATTTCTGTTAATGCAATTTAGCATTAACTATGTTCCTTAAGATTATTTTTTAATAATAAAAAAAAGCTTAAGAAATGCATCTGGACACATGATTGTTAATGCAAACAACGCATGATCACCTTATAAATGTCCTAACCACTTATCATCATCTCATGTGATCCTCATCTTCTACAGGTTCCTCTGTCTCATAGGCATAGGATTATATCAAGGTCTCCTGAATGGGCTGGCTGCTTTGAATTGATTTGAGTCCAAACTTCTTCAATAAATGAAACTGGGGTTTCTTCACATAGTGGTAAATTCATATTCAGAGTTTCATTGGTGCAAGACTTGGTAGAGCATTAGGTGAAGGGAATGACTTCTTCAATGGGTTACTGTCAGGTTTCCAAGTTTTCTATACCCTGCAATATATTAAACAAAAAATTATTGGAATCAATTACATTTTGGCAGTGTGGCATTACTTAGAGTAGTTTTAGGAGTTGCATAGAAAGCTCCTTCCTAAATTAGAAATAATAATATATATGAAGATGGTATTGGTGCTAGTATAAGGTTCTTTTCACATAGGGACATCAATTGCTTTAAATTACACTAATTTCCAAGCTAATGATATGTATTTAAGGAAGGTTTTGTACTTTATAAATACTAACTTAATGAGTAAACTTAGAATTTCAGAGGGTTTAGGGTAGTTTTAGAACAATTTGGGCTCAGGGGTGCACCGTGGGTGAAACCGCTTCGTCAAGAGGTCGAAAGCTGCGAAAATCAGGTGTCAGTGTGACAGATGATTTGTTCTCCCCCTCAAGATATCTCCACCCCCAAGCCTAGTGAAGAGGTGCTGCCTCCATAATGGAAACCACAAGAGTGACATGGATGAGGGGACATTAGGGGAGGGAGACATGGATAGGGAGGCACATGGGGAGAGAGACATGGGTGGGTGGGGGACATGAGGGGGGAGAGAGAATGATGTGTTTCTCCTCCCTCATGGACGGGAGGAAGCATGCGTAAGAAGGACATGGAGGGAGAGAGACATGGATGGGTGAGGACATGAGGGAGAGAGACATGGATGGTGACATAGATATTTCCCTCATGCAAGGAGGGAAGCATGGATGCAGTGGAGGAATGGGGAGAGGAGACATGGATGGGTGGAGGACATAGACATGGGGGGGAGAGAGATATGGCTGAGGGACATGAGGGGGAGAGAGACATGGATGGGTGGGGGACATGGGGGAAGGGGGACATGGGGGGAGAGTGACATGGATGGGAGGGGGACATTATGGGGAGGGAGACATGGATAGGAGGCAAGAGACATGGGGAGAGAGACATGGATGGGAGGAGGATATGGGACATAGGGGAGGGATATGGATGGATGGAGATATAGATAATAAAATGGAGAGACATGGAAGAAGAAAAGAGAAATGGAAGTGGGGGAGAGACATGGATGAAGGGTGGAGCGAGATATGGATGGAAGGGGAACAGAGAGATGGAAGTAGGAGAGAGACATGGAAGGAAGGTGGGCAGAGACATGAATGGAAGGGAAGGAGGAAGAGACATGAATGGAAGGGGGATAGAAGCGGAGAGTGCAGCAACACCTTACACTGCCTGGAGATTGAAGAGGGACTAAGGATCGAGCGGAGCGGATATAGCGGCTACACCTAAGGTGTAAAGCCTTACCTACCTGGCTGAGACTGCAATTTGCAGAGGGACACTCTACTGAGACAGTAAGTAACTTGAAGTGAAGCTTGTAAATAGATGATATCTATGTACCCAGGATTGCATATTGTATGAGAATGAAACAAGTAATTTAATTTGTTTTGCTCTAGGATTCACCAACCTTTATACAGGTCACAGGCAGCACAGATAACCAGTTACATTATTCTATCTACTCATCAGGTGACAGGTTATTACTAAGATAAACACAGTAGCACCATACACAGGCAGGCCAAAACCATCACAAACACAAGCAGTCCCCATCACACATTGACAGCACAAAATGAGCACACACATTCTCATCACACAGAGCCAGCCCAGTGCTAACACATAGTTTCCATCACATGTACACAGCCCAATAGATTCACACACAAACTATTCCTATCACACAAAGACAACCCAATACATCACATGCAGTCCCCATTACAATCAGACAGCCAAATATATGACACACAAACTGTAACCATTACATCCAGACAGCCCAATACACAGTCCCCATTACACCCAGACAACCCAGTAGATCACATGCAATCCCCAATACACTCACACAGCCTGAGTATACTCTTGCACCCTGTATTTTGCTCTCCATGAGTTTAAAGGGTAATCCAGACGTGCCTAGAGAGATATCAGCTATGCCTCACTTGATGTAATGGCACAAGATGAGCTTAAAACCAACTTGAGATCTGAGCGGGGACCCACCGAAGGGAAGGCTATTTCAGCTGCTGCCCATTCTCAGTATACTCTTGTGCCCCGTTTTTTGCTCTCCATAAGTTTAAAGAGTAATCCAGACGTGGACCCCTTGCTCACGGTGCCTAGAGAGATATCAGCTATGCCTCACTGATGATGCCTAACAAGGCTGAAACGAGCGTCTGGGGTTGCTGTGTCTCTAGTGCAGAGGGTACTTGCTGACATTTCGGATCTGGACTGCCTGTATGGGTGGGACCAGACTGATATGTTTCAGAGATGTTCTCTCTGTAATGGCACAAGATGAGCTAAAACCAGCTTGAGATCTGAGCGGGGACCCACCGAAGGGCAGGTTATTTCAGCTGCTGCACGTTCTCAGTATACTCTTGCCCCCAGTTTTTTGCTATCACATGCAGTCCCCATTACAATCAGACAGCCAAATATATGACACACACACTGTAACCATTACACCCAGACAGCCCAATACACAGTCCCCATTACACCCAGACAACCCAGTACATCACATGCAATCCCCAATACACTCACACAGCCTGAGTTCAACTGTCACAACCAAGGTATTTGTTAGTTGACACCAGTAATATGGTGCAGGGAGAGAGTGCTCTGGGGCTGCTGTTTGACGCGGCCTTTAAGAATTCGACCGTGGCGGGATGCAGGTGCGTCACCAAAAGTGTGAGACAGCATTCTCGCAGCCAATGTGATGTTGTCTTTGTTGCCACTGGAAATCTCATCCGGCATCTATTCCCTCCTGCATAGAGGGAAGTCCTGGGGCAAGTCCTGTTAGTGCGATTGAAGTGCCGGGGTAAGTCCTGGATGCTGGAGCAAGTCCCATGAGTGCAATCTCAGTGTTGGGGAAAGTCCTGTGAGTTTCATCTAAGTACTGGGGTGGGTGCTGAAACAAGTCCTGTGAGTGCAATCTCTGTGCTAGGGTAAGTCCTGGGTGCTAGGTCAAGTCATATGAGCGCAATCTTTGTGCTTGGGTAAGTCCTGGGAGTGCAATCTGTGTGTTTGGGTAAGTCAATATATGTTCACAGTATATACACAAAGTATGTCTCACATACTGCCCTGCACAGGGAAATTCAAATAACCTTGTGTACGTACTGGGGCCTATATGTTGCCCTGTGCATGGGGTGTATATTAGTGCAATGTGTGAAGTATAACCTTGTGTAAATACTGGTGATATATATTGCCCTGGGAAAGGGTATATATCAGTTGTATCTATAAATAATAATACACTCTTCAAATGTGCAAGAATATAAAATGGGGCTGGTATAATGACGCAATGCTATGGGTCTGCATTTATTTCCATGGCTGGTTTTTATTCCCAGTCCGGCACTGATATTGTGTGATGTCCCTGTGTTATGCTTGTAAAAAAGTGTGATTTACCTATGTTGTACTTGCAATAAAGTGTAATGGCCTGTGTTATTCTTGCCATAAGGTGTGATGTGCCTGTGTTTTGCTTGCAATATGGTGACAAGCATTCCACTGGCACATCACCATCATCACACAAGTGTAAATATATATTTATGATTTGAGGCTGATAACACAGATTCATTAGAGCAAACCCTATCATTGGCATTATTGGGAAAGCATTCTATAAGAAGATTTGCGATTTCATGTGCACTAGCTGATGGAGTTCTCCTTGTAGTGCTTTCATATAGAGAGGGGGGCTTTGGGTGACAGGCAGGACTCTGTTCCGAAGAAACCTCAGGAACTTTCAATTCCTCTTTATTCACTTTTTTATGGGACAGGGAGGACGAGGAAACAAAATATAATGCTAGATCTATTTCTTTAGCTTCCCTTTACATGGTGGAAAATGTTGATGTAAAAAAATAAAGCTTTTGTTTTTCCATTAATGGGGGGAGGGAGGAAAGAGCCAATACAGTTCCTCACCAAGGGTGTTTGGGCCTTTTGGGTTTTCGTCTTAAGAAGACATGGGGTTTAAGTATTATTTGCAGTCAAACTGCTATGGACTGTAAATATGTATATGGGTTTAATGGTCAAACACAAGACAGCACTTCAAGGGTCATATACAAATCCTGAAAAGCAGATATGGACACGGTTTGTGAAACCTCTAGTGCTATTTAAATGTAGGTTTACTGATTGAATCTTATGTACCAATGAACATTTTGTTAAGAAAATGTTAACTTGATTGCTGTAAAGCTTAACTTTAGTTTTCATAGACCTAGCCATTTTACTATACCTAAACTTCTAATTGGCTAACTGAGCAGCGGGCGTGAAAAAGCACTAAGAGCGCAAGATTTTGACTTTCTCTTTCTGTACTTTGGTCCTACAGGCAGTTTGGTGGTTCTTGACTTTTAATTCACCTTAATTGCATATACATGGTGTGGAAGTAAATAGAATTTGCTATAATGGACCATTAAGAAGTACATCTTAATCACTCTTGTGCTGGCTGGTGAATTATCCCCCAATGAAGATGCCTGAAGTGCTATTACACCTTCAGCTACAAAGGGGTTAAATACAGTATGCAGCAAAATGCTGCACATAGAGATTTCAGGCACCATGACCACTTCAAATCACTGAGGAGATTATGATACTTGGAGTAACTGTTTAAGATTAACTTTAGTCTACTTCAGTTGTGCTTCACTGTATCACTGCTTCACTGTATCTGTATTGAAGCTATAACTGACAAGAGGTCTTCGATTACTGAGAGTAGTGTAAACCAGCATGAATGTGGATGCAATGGTAATTAAGAAATGTATTCAGTAATCTGAGTTGTGCATACATTTAGGTTAAAATAGCAAACAGGAAATAAAACTAGCATCTTAGATGAATAAACCATGCTGTCTTAATTCACCTGGGTTTTTATAGATCGTCATAACATCCTTGAAATAATGAGGTAAGAACCTTTCCAACAAAAGTAATACATCTTCGAGCTCTTCTAGGATTCCGACAAGTAAGAAATTTTCATTCACATTCTGTTTTGCTCGTTCCAAAGCCCATTCACCTGGATCCCTTCACAAAATATAACAAATAATTAGCATATCTATTATAGCATATTTGTGTATACATTGTCTGTAATTATTGACTAGATACCACCACATTAAAAGAAACAAGTTATCTTTTTTTCCATTACAGGTCTATGCACGAAGAAAGGCCATTTTCCATTGAATTTCCATCCATTCCACTGCGTGTGCACTGTGGTTTTCAATTATCTCCTCTTTTTGGTGTTATAAATTTTACTGTGCCAAAAGAGTCTATGTAAAGGTGAATTAAGGTTCTGTTTCACTTGTGCACTAGTTTTCTTCGATACTCTTTGTGGGTGTAACTAGTGACTCCCACACTTTACATGCTCACCCTTCCTTTATACGCCTTACCTCTTCCTTTCAAAGTCCTTGTTAAGATCTAGTCAAAAAGAGGCTGTTAACCCATACATTAAATATTATATTTCTGAATATTATGTTTTTGCAAGAATTCATCCAGTCACTGTTTATAATTGTGTACATAATCTGATAAAACCACCCCTACAGGCAGAGGATTCCATAATCTATAAATCAGTAGAGGATACTAGTTTATGGAAATAGCAGCCACTAGTGATGGAAAAGATAAACAACTTAATCTATATTTGCACCACATTTTCCATGTATTTCTTTTTTGAATTCCTAGTTTTGTGTCATATCCAAACACTGGCTCAATAATTTCAAAGCCTATTTCAAGATCATTTGTAAATAGGGTGAATAGAAGCAGCCCCAGAACAGACCCAGTTACCACTGTTGTCCAGCTTGAAAATTTACCACTAATAACAGCTCTGTACTGTGTCTTTAAGCCAATGTTCTACTCAAGAAAATAATTTCCATCTAGACCAATTTCTTTTAATTTGAACACTAGCCTCTTTCATAAATCAAAAGAGATCACATCCTCTGCAACACCCTGATCTATACTTCTACAAACTTCTTCATAGAATGCAGTTAAGTTGGTTTAACAAGATCTATGTTTCATAAAACAATGCTGATTTCAGCTGATGACAATGATGATCCCAATTAATTTAGGAATTTTATCCTTTTATATCATTTAAAACAAACCTGAGCTTATTCCATAATCTCCTACTAGAATCTGCTGCCCAAGCTGATAGCACATAAACCAGGGCTTCTATAAACTTACTGATAATGTAATACACAGTTTTATGAATGGAGGTATCGACGTGGCTTCTGTTACCGTGCACTAATAGCTTTATCCAATTCATAAATAAGCTAATCACAAGTCTTTAGTGTGTATGTATATTAACCGACTGCACTAAAAGGATTGAATACTCCACAAAGTTGTGAAAATCATTGCCAGTGGTTTTTTCCTTGATGAAACCTCTCTGTTTTATATAATGACTACGACCATTTGAGTTCAGCCATAAGACATAAACTCAAAATAACAATATAAACAGCACCTTCTCCACGTGTGGTATGCTGTACCCACTGCATTCAGTAGGTAAGTTGTGTGTCAATCATGGTTTGGAACAGGTAACAGTGTTGTCAAAGTCTGGCTCCATGTATCTTTTTGGGCTATAACTCCAATATCATCTGTGGGGAAAGGGCCTGATCAACAACCCACGATTTGTGGTAAGGATAGAAATGTATTTAAATTCACCTGCACTTTGGATGCTGTCCACAAAAATATGGAATGATGTAGAATAATCTGGGGTTGGAACATTCTGCATAGTTTTTGAGAATACACTCATTAATATCCTGTAAAATAAACACAGACAAGAAAAATAGTATAAGTTATGGAAAGTATGATTTTAATAAACAGTAATTGCTCAATTGTATTTTGTATGTTTATTCACTAAATATTGAACTGCGTTTTCAAAATGCAAACTATAGGGCATCTTTCCAGCATTATTCACTGTTTTGTGACTCTGCCCTATTGATGCAAATGATTCAACTTTGATACAACGCTTTACCTTTGACATACACAAACATAAATATAGATCACCATTAGTCATAGAGGTAAAGAGAAAGTTTTTGTAAAAGAGTTGAGGTTTTCTAGTGACCAACGTCCTTGCGGTAGCGGATACAGTAATTTGCTGAAGAACATTCACTTCTAGGGACTGTTAAAAGCATGGTTATTATGCTGTATAGGTAGTGTGGGAACTCGTTTAAATAAAAAGAAAAAGTACAAGTTAGCACAGATGACAGATGTTCTTATTATATACAAAAAGTACCTTCCACTCCTCACTTCCTAATTTGCATTATGGGAATATTAAAACTTACATACTCAGCCAAGTCATATCAGTTTTTCAAAGTATGGCACAGCGTCATATAAAATAACATATCAAACTGGACGAAGGCTTGAAATGTTGATGAAACATGCCTATATATATGAAAGATAACGGAATAAACCTCTAACATTCTAGTTTTTGTTGCATTTTAGAACACAAGATGGTTGTTTCAAGCTGTATGTTCCAAAATAAAGGATATGTAAATGATAATGTAAGCGATAATGTAAGCGGTTTCCAGAAAGTACCACAAGGGGTCAGGATGTTCACGAGTTACGGATGCAGTCTTTCACAAACTGCAATTTGTAAATGATTGAGTACAAGCACTTTTACATTCTCAAACCTCTATCTACAGGGTCACGGAAGAAAAAAAAAGTATTAAATAAAAGGCAATTAAATTGTACTACATATGTGGACTATCAGTAGCTGCAGATAATTAATCGTGCATACATTTTATTTTTAGTCTTTGGGAAATAGTTAAGGATTTTTTTAATCCCAAAACTATGGCATAATTTAAATGTATTGTATATTTTATATTTGACGGCACAAACTATACTTGCATTACATATAACAAAAATTACTTTTTTTCCCACAGCAATACATACTCCTATTTCCTGCACAGCTCACACTAAGTTTTAGTTAATGTTTTATTTTGAATGTTTTTGCTGACATACTACAATATAAAGCATGCAGATTAATGACAACGTATTATCAGATGGTTAAACTGTCTTCTAGAAAAAAAAAGATGATTTAAGTTGGCTTTAAAAATAATGCTGGTGAGCTTAAATTTCACAGTATACCTGGTTTTTATTACGTTGTGATAAATATAGCTCATATTTTAATGCTACATAATCCTTTAAAACTAGATTGTATTGATCCCAGGGAAATAAAATAAATATAAAGCTTGCACATTTTTTTTTTTTTTAACAGGCAAACAAGACCTATCTTAAAAACATAATCAATAATAATAATCAACATAATCAATTTGTTTTGAAACAATATTTGAATTTGACAAAGTTGATAAATGTTTGTAGAAGTTGAGAACCAGCCAGACAGATTTAGCGCCTGGCTCCCTTTTGGAGGAACAATTAAAGTTATTTAGCCATAGATATGAGGAAGAAGAGTTAAAAAAGGGTTTGATGCATGCAATATAAGCAATGAACTTAGGATATAACTCTGTTATTTTTCTGGAGTCCTGTAGGTGATTTAATTGGGTGGAGTCTACTAGTAGCCAGAGAAGATCACAGCAAAACAGATTGCATCTTAACTGGAGGATTTTCTGCTTCAGGTTGTTGCTTGTATGTTGTAGCAGGCTTTTTTTTTTTAATAATTCTTTATTTTTGCTCCACTCAGGGTATGAGAGGGCAAGCGCATAAAGTTTAGGACATACAGCAGTTTTAAAGCAACAATAGTAAAGAAAAACGTAGTTAACATTCTGTCACGTATTCACCCGCACATACAAATGTGGTTAATGGCATTTACTGTCCTGACAGGAAAAGTTGTGCTGAGCAACATTACCGTCCTGATAGGAAAAGCTGTGCCGAGCAGCAATCATGCACATGGAAACCTGGTAATTACTTTTGGGTCAAAGGCCGGTCATGACCAATCAAATCCAAAGGAGGATTTGCGCTGAGCAGCAATCATGCACATGGAAACCTGATAATTGCTTTTGGGGTCAAAAGCCGGTTATAGCCAATCGGATGATCGATATTTAGGCCCAGTTCTCCTTTTGCTCATTGGCCTGTCGTGGTTTCATCCTAATGGTAATCCGAGAGTGTGTTCCTGATCTTTATTTTCTGATATTTGACTTTGGCTTCGTTTTGACTTCCCTGAATTCTGGTATCCTTGACGTTTGGCTTTCCCTCATCGTTGTGTCTGATTCTGTGTTCCTGACCTCGGCAAGTATTTTGACTATTCTTAGATATGTTAAGTCCAGCCATTCTAAGGTCCAGTTATACGTTATCCATAGTCCTAGATGTGACACAGTTCTGCGTGCTGGATCAACTTGTAATCCTGACATATTCATGACATCCTGCGTATGAGGCCTATGAGCAGAGGGTTTTATTTATATGATGGTCTATTACTAAAACTGGTGGGGACACGCTGAGAGCCGGCTTTGGGTTCAGTTACTGTAGAGCGTAGCTAATGTTTCTAGGGACTGCAGATGGTCATTTAAAAAGATTGTATGAGATATGTAGTTGCTGGAGTGCCGGTTGTTACTATAAGAGTATTATGTGAGGCGTAGGAGGGTTGAAAAGCTTAGGGCTCATTAAAGTACCTAATCGGCTTCACTGTGCTAAGGTGACGGTTATCGGTTGAAGTTTATCTCAGCCGAGAGGAAAAGCTCAGGGTTAACATTGTCAATGTTATCACAACTATACATTTCTCATGTTTGTGAAAGGCACTTTGGCATTGTTGTTGTTGTTTAGTCGTTCAGTCGTGTCCGACTCTCTGTGACCATATGGACCATAGCATGCCAGGTACATCTGTCAGTCACTGCCCCTCTGAGCTCCAACAACTTCATGTTTGAGGCTTCAGTGACTTCATCTATCCATCTCCGTCTCTGTCGTCCCCTTTTTCATGTGCCTTCCATCTTTCCCAGCATCAGAGTCTTCTCTAAAGAATCCTGCCTTCTCATTATATGGCCAAAATATTTGAGCTTCAGCCTCATGATCATAGCTTCCAGTGAACAGTTTGTCTTGATTTCCTGTAGTACAGATGTATTGGATCTTCTTGCAATCCAAGGGATTCTAAGCAGTTTTCACCAACACCACAGTTCAAAGGTATCAATTCTACAATTCTAGTCCAGCTCTCTCATCCGTATGTTACTACTGGGAATACTGTAGTACTGACTATGCAGACCTTTGTTGATAGTGTAATATCTTTAGTTTTTACCAGCTTGTCCAAGCTTGCCATAGCTTTCTTCTCCAGAAACAAACATCTTTTAATTTCATGACTATAGTCACCATCTGAAGAGATCTTGGATCCCAGGAAAATAAAATCTGTCACTGCCTCCACTTCTTCCCCATCTATTTGCCAGAAACTGAGATTGTTGTTTGCCATGATCTTAGTCTTTTTAACGTTAAGCAGCAAGCCAGCTTTTGCACTCTCTTCTTTTACCCTCCTCAACAGGTCCTTTAGTTCTTCCTCACTTTCAGCCATGAGAGTAGTATCATCCGCGTATCTGAGGTTGTTGATATTTCTTCCAGAAATATTGATTCCAGCTTTGGATTCATCCAGCCCAGCCTTAAGCATTATGTATTCCGCATATAAGTTGAATAAATAAGGTGACAATATAAAACCTTGTCGCACTCCTTTCCCAATCTTGAACCATTCTGTTGTCCCATGTTCGGTTCTGACTGTGGCTTCTCGATCCACAAACAGATTCCGCAGGAGGTGGACGAGATGATCTGGTACTCACATCTCTTTAAGAACTTGCCACATGTTGTTGTGAACCACACAGTCAAAGGCTTTAGAATAGTCTATGAAGCAGAAGTAGGTGTTTTACTCTGGAACTCTTTGGCTTTCTCTTTTACCCATCGTAAATTGGCAATTTGATCTCTTGTGCCTTTTCCTCTGCAGAACCCAGCTTGTACATCTGGTAATTCCCGGTCCATATATTGTTTGAGTCAAGCTTGTAGGACCTTAAGAATTACCTTGCTGGCATGTGAAATTAGTGCAATTGTTCTATAATTGGAGCATGACTGACTGAACTTTTCCAGTCTTTTGGTCACTGTTGAGTTTTCCAAATTTCTTGGCATAAGGCAAGCAGAATATTCACAGCATCATCTTGCAGAATTTGAAATAGTTCAATTGGGATTTCATCAACTCCTGCAGCCTTCTTCTATCTCTTTACATATTTCGGTCATTTTGTTTTTTTTCAGTAACTTGGGCATTACTGTTTTTTAAAAGGGTCTTTATTAAAGAGTGCTCAACTGGAGCATTTCTAACAGTACATCCAGCCTGCACAGTTAAAAAAATAATAACCCCCTGGTATCTTTCGATACCATAGGGTCTCTTCTGTCAGTTGGTGCCACAATTAGTGGTGCCAGACTGACAGGAAAACCATGTGCAGCTCTCCAAGGAAGCGTTGCTCGTGGCCCTTTAAATACCACAGCTGCACGCAATTTGGTCATTTAAAAAATGCTGTAATTTAAAATATGCTCCCATATGTGTAGAGCCTCCCCATCAAGGCATTCTTGTCCCATGCTCCTGGATCGGTGCTTGGCTTTCCCTCTTGTGCTGCACTCATACAGTACATAGTTCTCACAGAGCCCTATACTGTGTGAGCTAGGCAATCCCTCTGCTGATGTCAGTGAATCAGCAAAGGGAACCTGTCGAGAGATGGGATTAGGACTTGGATTATAAATAGGATTATGAATTGGATTACAGGTAGGATTATGAGTTGGATTATAGATAGGAAAAGGTGTTGAATTATGGATAGGATCATAGGTTGGATTATGGGTAGGATTAAGGATTAGACTCTTGTACTCTACAAGAGTAGCAGAATACAAATGTTGTGTGTTTACAATAGTGGCACATGAGTGGTCTGTGAATATCCCCAAAATAAAACACAACAAAATGTGTGAAAAAAAAAATGCTTTGTGATAAAATGGTTAAATGAAAATTGTCAAAATACTTTTAGTCTGAGGGAAAGTACTTTCTATTAATATATACTTTTGGATTTGGATTCTGTAACTACTATAAAAGTTGTTATCTTAGCATACAACATTTTGAACAATTTTAGCTTTAAAACACAGTAAATCACTCTTTGCAATATTTGTTTTATAACTTTTAAAAATTAATTGAAATCCTAGACATATTTGGTCATTTTAACAAGCGGGACTAAATTACTGAATCTATTTTGTTATTACACTTGTTGTGCAGAAATTATCAAATGTAAAACTGAGAACATTTGTTTTTTTCTCTCATTAAAAAACATTTTATTCATATTTAATATTGCGTTATACAAAGAGGTCTGGAAATATTTGGACACTGACACGGTGTTCATAATTTTGGCTCTATACACCACCACAATAGATTTGAAATGAAATAACTGAGATGCAACTGAAGTGGAGACTTTCAGCTTTAATTCAAAGGGTTAAACAAAAATATCATATGATACGTTTAGAAATTGCAAACATTTCCATACACGATCCCCTTATTCAGGGACTCAAATGTCATTGAACGATCATAAATAAAATATAAATTTTTAATATTTTGTCAAGAATACTTTGCAGGCAATGACTGCTTGAAGTCTGGCATGGGCATTACCAAATGCTGGGTTTCCTCATTTGTAAAACTTTGCCAGGCCTTACTGCAGCTGTCTTCAGATGTTTGTTTGTTAGTGGTTTGTTTTTCTGCCTTAAAGGGTCACTTTTTAGACATCAGAACAACTACAGCTTACTGTAGTTGTTTTGGTGAGTATAATCATTGCCTTCAGGCATTTTTATGCAAACAATGCCTTTTCAGAGAAAAAGAAGTGTTTACATTGCCCCTAGGGACACCTCCAAGTGACCACTCCTCAGATGGGCACTGGAGGTGCTTCCTGGCTCAGTGCTGCACAGTAGGCAGCACTGCCGTTCAGCGTCTCAACGCTCTGCATGGGGACGCAAAATTTTCCTCATAGAGATGAATTGATTCAATGCATCTCTATGAGGAGGTGCTGATTGGCCCCGCCCCCTTGCAGATGCCCATGGGAATGTATTGGATTGGCTAAAAATCGGCAATTCTGATGATGTTACCAAGGGAGCGGGGCTAGTGCCTGTGGACCTGCATGGTGTTGGAAATAAGGTGAGTTTTTCATGCTTTTAAGGGGAGTACAGGAAGGGCAAGCCACCTTAATGGTGGGTTTTGCACTACAGGGTCAGGAATACATGTTTGTGTTCCTGACCCTATAGTGTTCCTTTAGGTTGTGTCTTCAGCAAGTGAAATCTATCAGGTGATTGACTCAGACATTGCAGAATATTCCACTTCTTTGCATTAAAAAAACTCCTGGGTTGCTTTCGCAAGTATGTTTTAGGTCATTGTTCATCTGCAAAGTGAAGCGCTGTTCAATCAACTTTGGTGAATCTGCGCAGGTAATATATCCCTATACACTTTAGTATTCATATGGCTGCTTCTGTATTCTCTCACATCATCTATAAACACTAGTGACCCAGTGTCACTGGAAGTCATGCAGGCCCATGCCATCACACTGTCTCCACTGTGCTTTACAGATTTTTTGGAATGCTTCGGATGGCATGAGCAGTTCCAAGCATCATCCATACTTTTTTCCTTCCATCATTCTGGCACAGTTTGTTCTTAGTTTAGTCTGTCCAAAGAATGCTCTTCCAGAACTGGGATGGCTTTTTTAGAACTTTTTGTCAAAGTCTAATTGGGCCTTTCTTTTCTTGAGGTTTATGAATGGTTTGCCCTTTGAGGTGAACTCTCTGTATTTGCTCTCAAGAAGTCTTCTTTTTCTGATAGACTTGGAGAGTGTGCTTCAATTGGCTGCATGTTGTGAAGGGGTTTTTCCTTACCATGGAAGGGATCCTACGATCATCCACCATAGTTGTTTTTCATGGACATCCAGGCGTTTTTGTGTTGCAGAGCTCACCAGTGCGTTCTTTTTTTCTCAGAATGTACCAACTTTTTGATTTTCCTGCTAGCTCACTGATGGTTTTTGTTTTTTTGCAGCGTAAGGATGGCCTGTTTCACTTGCATTGAGACCTGCTATGATCACATGCTGTGGATTCAACGCAACAGCTTCCAAAAGCAAATGCCACACCTGGAATCAGCTCCAGACCTTGTACCTGCTTAAATGATGAAGAAATTACGAAGGAATAGCCATCACCTGTCCATAAAACAGATTTTGAGTCAATCGTCCAATTACTTTTGGTCCTCTGGTCTTTTGAAAAAGATGGGGATACATATTAAAGAGCTGTAATTCTTAAATCCTTACTCCAATTTGGATATGAATACCCTCACATTAAAGAGGAGAGACTGATAAGCCCATATTCATTATTTAATTGCAACTTAATTTATTTTGGTAAACAGCCAGTCATAACAAAACTTGTGTCAGTGTCCAAATATTTCAGGAGTGCATTAAAGGAAAGCCCTGTTTGCATATAGTGCATTAAAGGAAAGCCCTGTTTCTGCTTTACAATGGTTTTTTTATATGTATGGATGCACTTAAATAAAAAGAGGGAAATCGTGGTACAATGAATACATGACAAAGTGCCAAATAGGCAAAGTCTCAAAACAGCCTTGGTGCTTAAGGGTCTAATCATAATTTATTTCAGCAGCCCTATATCTGTAAAATGTTCTCTATAATAACACCAGGAACTAGAAATGATTTAGTTTTGGAGATCAGAAAAAAATATTTTACCTGATTTTCTTTCATATTTTTAAATGAATAGTCTAATCTCAGACATTATAATGGAAGCATACAATGTAACAGAGATGAAAAATGTCTGCAGGTTTCAGGAGATTTTACATCTCTACAGAGAACCATAACAGATGATACATAGTACTGGCTCAACCTATAAAACTGTTGTTCCCTGTTCATTGGAATCTAATTAATTTTCTGCCTTCTGGAAATATTAAAGTTATGGTCATGTCATAGTGTGAATTATAAAAAAGACTAAAAACGAAACGAAGGAAAATTAACTATGGCTTTACACAGTCACTCTAGTTCCCACAATTCTTCGAAGGCTATAATAATAATACCTTCTAATTTACCTCTTGTGAAATCCAGAAATACATTAATCCTTGCAGATTTTAAGTAGCAATTTAGATTATAAACATTTGTGTATCTGGTTATCAAGAAAGTTCTAACCTAACACATCTTGTGTTAGATATACAAAAATGAGGTACACTACAGGCATAATGTCATGAGCACCAGGTGCTCTTCATACTTGTTCCTCAGCATGTGGGTTTCCAACAAGCTGAATGTTGGCCATACTGCTGAACTTTGGCTTTGCTGTCAATGCCTAGCATAATCATTTTAATGTCAGTGTCAACTGAACGTCAGAGACCACATGCACAAATAACAATGATGCCAATGATTTGTCAGGCATCACATTGTTGATGCTAATGTTGCTCAGTCTGTATGCATATACACAGTGCCCTAACCCTGTCAATAATAACCTAGACTCTATAGGTTTGATGACCCACTACTTGATTTTTACCCTCACTTACTGCCACTTTTATAACACGACAGGTGGCTTCATATTTTGCAATAAACTCTCTTTAATAAACTCCAGCAGCACAGATTTAACAATAAAGTTTAGTGGAAAAAACATTGCAACAGGGTATAAAAGGCCCCTCCTGCTGTATCTCTTCCTCTTTCTTTGCTGCTCCAGCCTAGGCACAGGTCAGAGTAATTTGATCTCAGCTCAATTATCTTATATTGTTTTATGCTGCATTGAATTTGATCATAATTATTTTACATCATTCCCCTGCTCCCTCTACAACTTGTCTTGCCCTCATTCCCTCAGTCATTCTCTATTTCTCCCTGCTGCCCTGACTCCTGCTCTCAGACAGGGACCTGTTCTTTCAGGCTCTCCTGCCATTTCACTCTTCCCACACTGTTGCAAGTCGCGGCATTTTCGCCGCGGTTTTAGCGGTTTCTGGGGCTAGCAGGAGGGGTACTGGGGCATTAACCAGCGGGCCGCGCTGGCAAATTGTGCGCAGTCGTCGGCCATCTTGGTCTGTGAGATTCACTTCAGCCATTTTAGATAGCCAGGTTGTGATTCCCACAATCTGGCCTGTTGCATATCCATTTTCTCACACATCTACTAAACAGTGTAAATGGATTGTACATTACTGTTCTCTCTGTACATACTGTCTGCTTATAATTGATTGTCTCCTGGGTATAACAGTACCCCTCATGTACAGGTTTTATGGTGTTTTCAAAAGTTACAGAGTCAATTATAAGGCTTGCATTTCAGTTTTTTCACATTGAAATTCGTCAGGTTGGTTATGTTGCCTTTGAGACTGTACGGTAGCCGAGGAATGAAAATCACCCCCATGATGGCATCCCATTTGCAATAGTAGACAACTCAAGGTATTGCAAATGGGGTATGTTCAGTCTTTTTTAGTAGCCACTTAGTCACAAACACTGGCCAAAACTGGCATTCACATTTGTTTTTTGCATTTTTCACACACAAACAAATATTAACACTAACTTTGGCCAGTGTTTGTGACCAAGTGGCTACTATAAAAGACAGGACATACCCCATTTGCAATACCTTGGGTTGTCTACTTTTGCAAATGGTATGCCATCATGGGGATAATTCTTATTCCTGGGCTACAATACGGGCTCAAAGGCAATGTAACCAATCTGGCGAATTTCAACGTGAAAAAACTGAAAAATTTAACATGCTATTTTTTGACCCTGTAACTTCCCAAAACGCCATAAAACCTGTGCATAGGGATACTGTTTTACATGTGGGACATCGCTGAATACAAATATGCGTATTGTATTGCGGTAAAAGCAAACAGTATTATGACATTCACAGTTAAAATGTCACGTAGAACAAAATTAATTTTTTTTAAATTCTTATTTTCTCCCATTTTTTATATTTTATTCATATTAAATTAAGTTTCATACCTAAATATTTGATGTGAAATGAAAGCCCTGTGTCCCCTGAATAAAATGATATATAATAAGTGTGGGTGCACATAATATGAAAGAGGTGAATTACTCCTGAACAGACATATAGCACAAATTCAAGTTTTTGTTTACGTTTTGGTTTGATCACAACGTGTACATTTGGCTCTGTCATTAACCCCTTAAGGGGTTCATGCAAAATACTCGACTCCTGTCCTTAATAAAATTAAGATTAAAGGTACACTGTGTTAGCATAATTAAGTGTTCTTGCATAGCAAGACCACTTATTGTTATCTCACATATATATTATTATTCTTATTATAGCCAAATTTGCCACATAAGTTTTTACACTACATAGACCAAAATTTACCAAAACGTGCAGATTGTTCCCGATCGGATTGCTATTACTTTGTGGAACGTTTCGCCGAATGGTTCACGGAATATCGTCGTTCTTGTGGCGAAATTTGTCCCATAGGAATGAATGGCAAAGCTAGAGTGGGAGCTGGCAAAAGCTGAAAAATCAGGACATGATTTCTAAACTGCTACCACTCCCTTATTTTCAGGCCCACCTACACAAATCTTATATCAAAACGTTTAGCTATCCCTGCTGCCACTAAACATGTCAACGGCTAAGCCATAGTCCTGATAGTTTTCACAATATAATAATTTGTTTGCAACTAACGCCGTCCATTGACATTCATTGAAACTTCACTCTACAAAGCTCAAATTTGAAGTGCAATTTCTAAACTGCGACCGTGCCTTCATTTTTAATACCTCAGAGACATACTATGCATCAAAATGTAGGTCTGGGTCTTGTGATTCCCACAATATAAAGCTCTTCGTTGTAGGATTTATAGTTTTTAGAATACGATCGTTTGAAGATGGCAACCGCCAAAATACTCTGACCTGTGCCAGGCTGCAGCAGCAAGTGATGTCATAGACAGGGCCTTTTGAACACCTGCTAATGTTTTTATAAATGTATGGTTTAATGTAACTGTGCAACAACGTTGCAATTAAATGTGCTCTATAAATGATAACAGTTACTCCGCCCACTCCAGTTGTAGACTACTGGTGGAGGCAAGAACACTTCACACAATTTCCCCAGAAATTGTAGCTTTTCTAGTCTACAATTGTCTTCTAAATGCCTGCCCTAACCCATGGACCTGATCTGACTACAACACTGCTTTGCACCTTAACATATTTGAAACTATAGCCTACTCTGCTCCTAGGCATTCAGCTAGGCCCGAATCCTGCTTTTTATTAAATATTAAATTACTCTTTGTACTAGCACAAACTACCAGGGGGTAGTGATTTACCAGGCTATGCTGTACTGCAATTGATTTTCAGCAGCTCAACTAGTTAGTAAATACTCTAATAGATGCCAAGTATGATAATTTTACCACATGACAGGAGGCTTCCTATTTTGCATTAAATTCTCTTTACTAACTCCACATAGCAATAAAGAAAAGTGAAAACATTAACCAATCAAAATGCAATAGGAGGTATAGTATTCACAATGATGAGGCTCCTCCCCGTCTTTCTTTACTGCCCCATCAGCAGATAGGTCAGAGTTTTGGGTATTCCCTTAATTGTATTGATTTATGGTGTTTTTGTATGCTTTTACTGCCTTTTCTATAGATTTTTATGTGCTGGGGTCTTCCCTATCTGTCTTTTAGGGTTTTTCTGTCTCCCCCTTTTCAGTTATATTCCTCTTCCCTCAGGGATTCTCCCCTGCTTCTCTCAGGGACATTTTTATTTAATCCTGGTATTTTCTCACTTATTTTCTATTTCCACTTTGTTTTTACCAAGCACCCTATCGGTTCGTTGGTTTATTTAACTTCTCTGAGGGTAACATTCAACCTCCGCTCTCCTCGCGGCCTCTCAGCCGCATTCACACTCGCCGGCACGCCGGGAAATCCCTTTCCCGTCTCTCCGGTGGCCATATTGGATCTTGCGTCTCGCGAGATTCACGGCCACCATTTTAGGAGATCCTCGATCTCCGCCGTTCCGGATCCCGTCCGCAATACACACGGATTGCAAAGGCTCCAGCAAGGCAGGGGTCATCAGGTTAGTGCTACACCTTAAACTAACCTGCTATAATGGCTGCTAGCCCTATTCACTGGTGAGGCCACTGTAATCACACTGAGATCAGGAGGATTTTGTGCCACCTAAATACACATAGAACTGGGTGAGGCCCATTAACTACTGCTGCTATCAGGTGGATTTCGTGCCACCTATATATGCATATGACCAGGTGAAACCCTGTAATTGTAATACTAGGTGGATTTTGTGCCATCTTCATTTATATATACGTACCTAGGTGAGGCCCAGTAAAAATCCCAATTTACCCTGCTGGGGACTCTAGTATTCTTATACCACATATTTGGATTTACATAC